GATATATTTCATAGAGTAGGGGAGCGCAATAGACTTACCTCCACGTGGTGCACCCTGGGCAACGTATACTTATATGGCAAAAAAGTCTATCAAACCGGCAGTTGACTTCTGACTTCAAACTACTATGGCCCGACTATTTGTCATAATCGACCCCTTCAAAGTACTCATCTTACCTATTTTATGCCTTTGTGTCTGTCTGTCTTTTTTACCTCTGTGAATCATTATTTTGTCTCCCATCTCGACTTTTGTCACTTTAATGTTCCTCCTCCTCCTCTCTGTGAAGCCCCGAAGTCAGCTCCAGGGCTAATGATAACTATCAAAACGCCTGCCATTTGATATAAATAAATAAATTTCATAGAGGAAGTCTAAAATCAAGTAACTCGTGAGATAATGCTAATTGCTTCGATTATAGCAACTTTCGACTATTCAACTTTAAACTCTTCCAAAATTTAAAACACGCGTTTTACTAAGCGTCTGGAAATTTAATTTACATCAGCAGAAAAAAACTTGCAGTTGGGGCGCGCGCGCGTGCGGTGACTAATTTTATGGCCAGTAAAGTATGAGACATAAAGAGGCAAAGTGAAGGACGAACCCTCCCGCTAACAAAACACCGTGGTGGTGGAAATCATAGGAGGGTATGGTTGCAAATGTGGTAGACGTTAAGACCTCAAAACAAAGCAAACCGATTTAATGCAGAGCTATTGATCCGCAATGAGAACAACTATGAGAACGTTGATGAAAAACGATCTGCAGGCAAAACACGACTCGTAAATGAAGACAAGATAAATTAGAAAGGGGAAATTTCTCAATACGTTGGAATGAGAAATATCTGTGCATGAGATAGAGAAGCTTTTGAAAGTACAAAGTTTGATCAGTCTCGTACAAAACACAAGAAGGCCTAAAACGTAGCGTTTCCGAAGTTTAAGAAATTCTAACCGAACTCAGAAAGTTCAGGACGGACCAGGTATCAATCACGAAACTGAGCCGTTTGGTTGGCTAGGGTTGTGCTCCAAGAGGAGAGATCGTGTGGCACATTCTCTTTCGACAACCACGCGCCGATGGGGCAAACACCAAAAAGGAAGCATGATGAGTAAGGGGCACATTTTGGATTAAGCTACCTGAAGTTGGGCTAAGCGCCAAATGAGACTAAAAGATGTCCAAACAACGAAAATTAACTAATTAGAAGATGAGTCAGTCAGCTGTAAATCAAGATAATTTACCATAAGAAACTACGAATTAAGTGGACTGATGTAGAAGGATAATCTTCATATTTCCCACATGAAGTGCAATCGATTTAAGTCCAAATGAAGCATATTTACTCCCTCAATACCTACTTTTCGCAAAATTCGCAAGGCGAATATAAATACGGAGTAAAATCGAGTCCAGGTAGAGCGATTAGAAAATTTCACCAGTCATAGCATATGAGTGTTAATTTTCGAAGATAGGTGTGTTTATATCAAGTCTTAATCTCATAAAATTTAAAAAAACCCTATGTCTATCCAACAGATTCAATTAATAATATGCTAAGATGCAATCAGTCACAACGTGTTCTCTATATTCTCATGTTCGTATTTCCCCATACATTGCAACAAGCTTATGGCAAATGTATAAATTAAGGAATTTATCAATGACTAACCAATCAAAAATGTGAAAAAAGGAAATATAAAGATTACGTACTCGCATGAATATAACACTGTGGGAAGGAATTTTAATCGACTAACCGAGAACGCTAGGAGAGTTGGATGATTTAGCGGATGATGTGCTATAATGAGGACTAGATTCGGGATTGGGTAGAATAGCGTCTCGAGTTTGTCGAACAGGTTGACTAGTGCCAGATCCACCAGCCTCGCATTGGTCAAAAATTACTTGGAAGATGCGTGGCAAGTCATCCGGCGTAGCGTGCAGAACATCACACGAAGTGACACTTCTAACATGGAGAATAGCATTCAAGGGGAGATCTAAAAGGAGGTTAGGTCCCGGACGAGAGATCTTTCGACCCATTGTTGAAGTTGCAGAATAGATGGTTCCAGAGGAAGTGGTATTTCCATCTCCTGGAAGGCTCGATGAGGCAGTATCAAAGCTGGAAGATTCCTGGTTAAGTTGAAGGAGGTGCTCTGGAACTGACTTGGCTGTATCCCATACCAGAAGACGGCTGAATGTGAGCTGAAGATGGGAGAGAACCAAAAAGAAGAAAATTAGCATCAATCGGGTATTATGAAATATGTATAATATAATTTTCCTCCCATATCTGAATCTTGTCCCTATATGCATCAAAATTGATAAAAGGTGAAAGCGGTGGGAAAGGAGAGATTAACATTGAAGGAATTTAAATCGTCGAACGGTGAACAATTATGACAGGTAAACGTCAAAATCCAACACTGCTCCAATCTACTAAGTAGACATCCCAGTTGGTTAGAATGCGAAAGCAAAGGGAGTGGTGGAGTTGTGATTCAAAGCAGAGTGAATAACCTTTACCTAAGCACCAGTTGATTAATTATGTTGGTTAGAATATGCGAAAGCAATGCAGGAGAGGTTATAAATCGAAAGCATGATTTATGCGAGAAAGCCTCACTCAAACTCGTTGCTGAAAAAGGAATGCTGCTGAAAGGCAAGAACACAGTTAAAGAAGGGGAAGGGGCCACAAATACTTGTCAACGCAGGAAAATATTAAAATACCTTAGCAAAACGTTGATCCCAAACGAGTTTCTTTCGACGACCGTGCTTGCCAGGCATATCCAACTGTCCACTGAAAGTGAAATTCACTGGGAGAAGAGGGGAGGACGGAGTCACTGAGAGACCCCCGATTGATGAAGTAGGTGGAACGAGAAGGGGACGTCGTGGAGATGAGAGACTGGAGACACGCTGGAGACGAGTGGGTGACCTTGCAACCTCAAGTGGTGGTAGGTGATCAATTTCAGCCTCACCGTTGTCTCCCTTGGACGTCTGAAAAGATAATTGTGACTGTTCAATGAATCATACTCGAGTGAATCAGAGTGTAAAAATTTCTGCAAGGCTAAAACATGGTGTCATCTAGTCAGTGCGACCAGAAGCGTAAAATAGTTTAAAAGCTAAATAATTAACGAAAGTAGAACCATGAAGAAGTACGGGCACTTTATTGGTGAATAAAATTGAAAATAATTGAAAACGACAACAACCTAATGCAATATGGATTATAAGCTAACTACAACTGCAAAAACATCAATTAAATGAAAGTGGGAGAGGATAAACGAGTTTAGGAGGGCAGCTGAAGGTCCAGAAATAGTAATAAGGTATTTCATTCGACGGCGTGCGAATTAGCCTTCTAAATCAACTATCGTCAATCTGACGACCACATTAATTGACATAGGTGAGGTTTGAAACAATGTAGTAACATTGAAATAGCATATAAGCACGCGAGCGAAGTTTGAACAGGAGTCAAAATCATATCATCGATTTAAAGGTGTGGCGAAGTAAGCTGGCCATTTACAAATGCAATATGCGCCTGTTTAATTGAAGTTGGTAAGAATAAGTCAGATGGTGGTCAAAAAACACATTTTTTTCAAATTGTAATATACGTATGCATAATTACGCCAAATGAGGAAAAGCATCGATAGCTACTTTAAAGGTCAGCAACAAATGGAAGAGGTGCAATTTTAAAGTAGTATTTTATATGTTTACTTTTTAAGAAAAAAAGAACGCTACAGAGATGAAGTAGCGATCGTAGCTTGTTTCATCGCAACTAAGGGCAAAAATTCAGGAATACTTACACACATCCCCGATGCAGTTGTCTGATGTTCCGTATCAGTGCTAGGCTTTCTCACCAGACGACTCCTAAAAGTTCTACTGCCAACATTTCCAGCTAATGGGGCTGGAATTCGATGGAGAGTGGAGGCAGATGGTGTTCCAGACCCAGATTGCTCCGCAACAGCACCTTTCAAAGCGGCGTTAGCAGAGTTGAGCTGAGTCTGGAGAGAAGCCACTTCCTCCGAGAGACTGATCACTTGATTCCTGGCTGTTTGAGCTGACTCTTGGCTGGCGTGGAACATTGTACGTGCCTATAGGATGGAAGAAATCACATTCAGAAACTTGTTTAGAGAATTGAAGGCCCTTCGAGAAACAAGTACTGAAGGCGATTCTGTTCAAAGGCAAAAGTATATAAATTTCATTTATTACCATTCATGCGGAGGTTCAAAGATTTATATATCTTCGTCAAAATAAAAAATTGCTAGAAAATAGAGATGATTAATTATCATCAGTACCGACTGATTAAAAAATGAATCCAACTAAGTAGATTTGAAAAAAGGCAAATAGGAGAAAGAAGAGATATTGAGACAGTACTTGAGTAGACACTATCGACTCATAAGTTGAAAATAAAAGTTAGACATTAAAAATTCTATACCCTTCAACTTTTTTACTTTAAGGTAGTGCAACTTTTTAATATCACGTAAAAAATAGGGTTACTCAATCTTGGGAAGAAAGTAAGAAAGGAAACAGCAAAGTAGATAATCAAAAGTAAATAAACGACTAATAAGCAGTGGATGACTTGATCTAGAACTTGCCCAGTAATTCAGGTGGCAAATCATGAAAGTAGAATTTCGGAGGTAGAACAAGCTAGTAGGTAAATAAGGCACAACTAAAATCCGAAATCTAATGTGATAAGACTCATCAAGATCCTGATTTTTGCCTCAACTTCTGTTGGATCCATTCACCTCTATCCAATACTTGGGTCAATTTTAAAATATTCCAATTGCCTTTCAGCCGTAAAAGCTATTTTCCTTCATTTCTGTCGGGTTATTTTGGTTATTGGACTACTTTAAGACAAGTTTACAAACTTTAATAAACACAAAAATGATAGCTTGCACTATGCCTATCTACAGTGGTGGTGATCTCCGATGAAACGTTTAGTCTTAGCAATGTCTCGTATCGGGTAAAATCATGAGACAGTGCATAGGAAATAATTGTAGATGGTCAGTTTCGGTAGTTACGGCCCATGATCAGCTATTTCTTTTACTAGCTGAAATATACGCAAATACCAGGACGGCCAAATACAACACAGAGCTGCCAAGCCACCTCCCTCATAATTAGATAACAGAATGACGTAGGGGCCAACTAGTAGATAGATGGTGGGGGGGGGGGGGGGGGGGGTTGAGTCACTTTACAATAGCCTTAATGAAAGGTGAAGATTGACTGATCAAACAGTAAGAAGATAAACGGGACTTTCTAACTTGATTAACCTCCAAGAACAGCCACATATCCCAGAACTCAAGAAATGCACATAAATGTCCAAAAAGTCGGCTTTACCTCAAAAAGTAAGGTAAGTAATAAACCTTACTTTTCAGCACATGTTCCCAATAATTCACAATTTGTTTAGTAAGTAGAAATAATTTGTTAAATTTTCTTTGACAAACTTGTTCACTTGATCCATCATGAAAAAATTCTAGCATAGGCATTTAGAAATTTGTTGAGAAAAAAATTAGAGCAACCCCCCACNCCCCCCCCCCCCCCCACCCTCCTCCTGCCTACACGATTAATCTTAAAATCAAACTCTCCTAACTTATTCCACATGGCATTATCAGCCGATCTCAAATTTCACAAATCGATTGATAGGCGCGATCGGAAGCATTAAACAGAAAAATTGTCCCAAAACTATGAGCCTACAAATGTACAAACAGTGCAAAAAAAATATGAGCGCTTAAATGAAACCGCCTGAGATTCGTCGTATTTTGTCATGTGGAAACAGGCATGGATATCTGAAAAAAAACAATGAGATTGAGAAATACTTAATTAATCAAGGCTCCACTGAGAATAGATAGACTTACAATTCAATCAACAACACCATCTCCAACTAATTTTAGATGAATATAGAAAGGTTGAACTAATTAAATGCGTGAAGACGTAAAGCGGACTTTGTAAGATGCCAATCTTTTGAACAAAGTCAATGGGAGAGCACCAATTCCAAAGCACTAAGACATGGGAAACAATGAAACAAAGGAATATGACGAGTGCTGAGTTTTCCAAGTCGAAAAATGCCTCTCCTTCCTCAACCGAAGCATTCGTAATGAGCAATACACCAAATAGTGATCTAGTTATAACTTGTCGTCCCAGAATCTCCATGGAAAACTCCCGACATAATTGGTCAAAGATTATTGAAGCCAGATTGGTTATTGTCTTTACGTCGTTCTCTATTGAACTATTTCACCTGTTAGATGCTATTCGTAATCATACACTATTTCACGCGCAATAACGGTAGCGTTACCCATATACAGACAAAAGTGCGCCTTTTGTCAAGTTGGAGAATGGCTTTAAATCGTTGTAAATTATAAGTGCGGCTATAGTTACGAAATTCGTCGTATTTTAGATTTCAAATAAAAGCTTGAAAATGGTCAGTTTAAAAAACGACAAAATCAATAAACCCCAAGGAACTTGACTACTCTGCGGTGCCTCTAAAATCAATTCTGCAAAGTTGCAGTACTGCAGTCAAATTAATAAATACCACGGCCAACAAATGAACGCCTATTATTTTATAGAAAAGTACACCAAGACCATGATGGAAACAACATGGGCGCACACACAACTCGCAACTGTGTTTGGGTGTCAGTGGGAAACAAATACAACCCTATGCAGGCGCGCACACATGCGTGTAGTAGGGGGAAGCCTACCCCTTGCGTGCATCTGCGCACTGGGCAGAAAGTGCGGTGTGTGCCCCAGAAGAAAATCAATAGATGTAAGCAGCAGAAGGAAGACCTAACACGCGCGTGCCGTGTGTGTGTGTGTGTGCATGGTGCATAGATGTGTTCAATGTGTCGTACTTTTCGTTCCTTCACTTTGTTGTTTTCTGCTGACGCTAAACCGGACGGCTTCTGTACACCAACACCCTCCAGGTACTGCGTCTCACGCAAAAATTAGGACTATTCACGTTCCTGCCGTCGCATATGATGTCATACAGGCGCAATAGTGATGGCAAGCATAGTTATGGCTACACTGAATTGTTGCCAGTAGCAAAGACCAATGTCTAAAATACATTGCTTCATGTGATATTTTCCACTAACAAATATCTCTAACTCTTTCTTATCAAACACGACCAAATAAATAAATAAGTAGAAAACTTGCCCAAAGATAGGGAAAAGACCAGACCATAAGGTTACAGTTTATAAGGCCATTTATGATGATGCATTCCAATGACTGTTATTGGGACCTAGTTGACCTCATAAAAATTCGGAGTCTTTGTGATTTTGATAGCGTTTGATGGGAGCTTAGCCTTCAAGACACTTGAACGTAAATGATAAGGAATGCTAATTTTCACAAAGCGAAGAATAGGTACCAAAGTTAAATGTTAGTAAACGGAAGAGCAGAATTATACTGATTATCTATATGGAAAATAGAATAAGATCTGAGCTTAAAGTACTAGCAGCTAATAATTCTAATGTCGGCAGAGATGGAGGAGGAGACGCATTTGAGGATGTTGGAACTTCAAATGATAAAATCAACTTATCATGAAAGAATGCGAATTGTACAAGGCTATTCATTAGCCAGAATAAATATTTAAATAATTAAACCTTAATGTTAGTATGAACATGCTATGCTGTTAACCGATTGAAGAATTAAATGCTCTCCAGGCACAACGATTAATGGGGACTTTCAATATCAAATTTCCGGTTGATTAAGTTCCAGGAAAAGGCAACAGTGGTAGAAACGCCATCAAACAGAATGTCACCCCGGAAATTGGAAAGCCACGATTTGCCCAACGAATACCCCCTCCAATTTGAGCAGTAAAATTCAAAAATCCCTCCACCGAATCACCCCATCTTCCCCCCTCCCCCCCCCCTGGAGTAACAGTATTGTTACCGTATGCTTGTACTAAGAATATGATGGAAACCATCCTGATAATATAAACAAGTAACATCATTGTATTTTTTATAACTAGAAACAATTAAGAATACTTGTTAATTTATGGCACAATTGTGCTGTTGCCATATGCAGTAAGTCTAAAACACACTAGAATAACACTCACCCTAATGTGATAGGTCCCTAGTTGAGTAGTTTAAGTAACTTAATTAATCTGATCAACATAGATATAAAAAAATGGTGTCGGAATTTTCGTAGTGGTCTTTGCGCAGTAGCTCAGGCCTTAAATTCAAACACACGAAAGTTTCCGCTCATTGGTACAAATCAATTGCAGTCCCAACACGCATTTTATTCAACATGGATAAATCCTAACGCCTGACATTTGCTGTTGAATCCCTTAGAAACATAAGGTCAAATTGAAGAAAAATAACTTGAACTTACACTTGGTAGGTTAATTATACAAAAAAGGGCAAATACTTCAAAGAAATCACTATTGAAAAGAGAAACAGGGTTTGTGAGCGTAAAGATTAGAAGAATTAGAAGGGGAATAACGACTGCAAAGACGAAAAGATCAAAAAGCTGGAGTATCCCTAATAAATACATAATTCAATCCAGAATATCCAGCATAAGTTATGTTTTGGAATTGAAACGCTTCGATTCCATTTGAATTGACATTCGAAAATGAAGGCTAAACTGATTTCTTGTCACCTTAAAAGAAAAATTTTAGCAGATGTCATCTTGGTCCGAGAACGGTGACAACATCAAACGGATTATCATGAAAACTCATGATTTAAACGCGTAATCAATTAAAAATAATATTCATTTTTTGGCCAGTATGCAAAGACAAGCATAGTTTAAGGGGTCGGATACGAAGAAATTGAAATCTAGAGATAATGGTGTGAATTAACGATCAACCACGCTGAATATCCTTCAAAACACAGTCTCTAGAGTATTAGATAAGGGATTAAATCTGATAAACCATGATCGCTGAAGCACATCCAGAGGTAAAATTGTCCAGCCCATTGATTAATTCCAACAAAACTGTAGGAGTGTTCAAATGTAACTCGATGTTTAAAGGGAGCACGATATATTTTTTCCGAGTTAAATCAAGTGCTGTTGAAACTTGCCGTAATGAGACATAATAAATGCAGAATAAGCATTACTCCCGGCAAATTTAAGGAAAATCATTAACCAAATTCTATAACCTGCTGAATATTATATAAAATCCGACACTGCTTGATTAAAAAGGGGGTCAAAAAGCGCATGACATGGACGACAAGGGACCGTTGAAAAATCAGAGAAGGAGGAAACATGAAATTTGAGCGTCGGAATATGAGCTACCCAGTTAGTAAACACCGTGCAAATGCAAATCCAAAAATCAAATGAGGTAAGACTCGGTTACATTGAGATTGCTTTCAGAATGTTTCCACACCCCTAGCCCTTCACCTTTGACTAGATATTTTTGCAAACCGATTTCAGTTATTTCCAATCGTTCAAAATTTTGCATCTCCATTGCATCACTGTGGGTAGCAAAAGCAATAAAAAAATCAGTTTCTACAAAGGGCATTGAACAGATAATGAAGTTAGAGACATGTAATTTCAATGAGAAAGTAACCCCTAATATCTCTAGAGATCAACATCGTGAAAGATAGATATAAACGTACCTCCTTCATTTCTAGTCGATGTTTTGTTTGCATTTGCTCAAACTCACTAACTAATCGCTTGTATTTCCTATCTAAATGACGGAAGAGATGCTGCTGACTGGTGAATTTCTTCGACCCCTTGGCTTTCAAGGCTGCAACAGCTGACGTTGCTGTCTGGCGTCCATCAATTGCACTACTTCCAATCTCCTTACCAGCATGTTCACCACTTCGACGCATGGCTTCCATTTCAGAGAGCATCATGAGTTCTAAGGCGTCAGCATTCTCACCAGAAAGAATCTACAATAGAAGATAACCCAATACTAAGGCTGAAATTGTACAATCATTTAACTTGTCAATCATTCACCGGTGGCGTAGCGTTCAATGTCAAAGATAACGAGTTCGAGATCCAGAGAAGCACATTTAGTAAATAATGGCGCCGAATGGAAGGCTAGCAATCAAGTAAGCTCCGCGAAACCATCATCCTGACCAAATTGAATGCTTGAATGCACTATCCCACAGCGGTCAGAGCTCGTAAGATGAATGATGATCCAGAGAAGTGTGTTATAGCAAACCACATGGATTGAGCCCAGCTAGTGGCGTATGGTTAATGTCAGATCACCATAGTGAATTTTGGAAATTTTCCCTTAATGAGCTCAAAAATAAATATTTAACTAAGCCACCGCCATTGGTTAACCAAGGTGTTATGATACACAAGTTATAGATACGCACAGAGTAATAGCACACCAAAAGAACACACGAAATGCTTTTTTATTAAGCCTATAAAAAACTGTAAGGCATGCTTTGGGAAAGGGAGATTAGAGCTAAGTAAAAGGGCAAAAGTTAAAACCAATCAACTGGGAGAGGGAGAGAGAGACATACCTTGTTTGGATGAAGGTGAATATTAAGGTGATGGAGGTGTGGTTAGGAACATCACCAATCACGGGGTCAAACATAACTAAATCCTGTCACCCGGAATTTAAACGACCAAACTTATTTAATATAATTAAAGCTTAAATTTCATTTAAAATAGGGTTTCAAAATTACCGAAATGAAAATAAACAGGATTTTTCCATATCTGACACTGCAGACAACAGAAGTTCGAGTTCAAGATATCAGAAAATGTATACCTTAATGGCTTGGGGCAACCAAAACAGATACTAAAAACATGAATCACGAAAACCTGAAGTATTTCTCAAGTGAATGGTCGCTTTTATTCTAACAAGGTTTCATTTATGACCTGTATTAAACTCTGCAGGATTTTCCAACACATCCCCTGCCAAAAGGCTTTTTGATCGTATTCGATGTGGAATGTTTAAAAGTGAAATATCCTTGACTTGAGACTGGCTATAGGATAACGTGGTGGTGAAGAGAAGTCTTTCCCAGGTACGCGTATGCAAATGGATTAATCAGATCCAGAACATGGAAAATATTTCATCCTGTATTTAGTGAGAGACTCTAGTTAGGTGCCATTCAACAATGATATTCTGATCGTCAACAAATCTACTGTTGTTCAATTAATCGAAGGACTAAAATTTGACTTCTTCATACCCTCTAGACGCATTTTCAAATGCTTGTCAAACTTCTGATCCTTTTGACCTTAGTTATATTTACTCATGCTGATTTGTGATTTTTACGAACCTCGGGTTCCAGTTTACGAATAGTGAAGAGAACTATAAAAAATCCAGGGATGCTTAAATGTGAGTCCATCGTACAATATAGAGACAGGGAGTGATAATTACCTGCAAAAAACCAGACCTAGGTCCTAATCATTACATAGGTGGTTTGGGAACACGTGGTTAGACTACTAACACTATTAAAACTCAACCTTCTTCTTTCCGATAAACCAACCTGCTGAATCTTGTTTACAGCTGCGGTACATTTAAGTTTCTCAGTGGCCAAATCTCCTTTGGCCATGGCCAATTCTTCCCGTATGGCATTGATCTCTTCCCGCAGAGCAATAGCCTCATTGGTTGCAATTTGAGCCCGACGACTGGCCAATTCAGAAGACTTCTCAGCTGCCTAGAAAGAATAAGTGAATACTAACTAAACTATTGATTACAACCAAAAATGTAAGGAGACGGGAGGGATTTTACCTTTAGGCACTCGAGGTATTGAGCTGAACGTTCTTGCTCTTCCATTAGGGCATGCCGAATGGCAAGTTGGGTCTGTTCTTTGGATTGTTTTGTGGATTCTAAGCTTTCAACTAGACTGGCTATTCGTTGATCCTGAAGGTAAATGATACACTATATTAGAGAAAATCATCACAACGAGCTGTAGAGGAAAAATACAGTGAAGATTCATTCTGGAAAGCTAATAAATACGTTGTGTAATGCGACTAATTACCCTCGCCAAGTTATTTGATTACTATGCCCCTTCGTAATGTAAGATACAACTGCAGTGATACAAGAGGAAAAACAGGATAGAATTAGAGAAGATTGGTGCATTTTCCAGATCAGATTGGTATTATTGATGAGAGTATGATTGGAGAAACAACGAACTAATTAATGAAAGATGATTGATTTTGGCATGCTGTGGCTTATCATGATTAAGGAGCGAAGTTGGCAAGACAATGAAGTGACATCAGATTTGATCTTCCAATAAATGAAATAGCATTTTTTTACCACCCCATCAACATCCACCTTCAACGAGGAGGATATTATGAGAGCAACATGTAAAAAGTATGCGGAAGTAACAAACTAGGCGAAATTTTGAACACCTCTAATGCATGAATCTTAGCACAATTTCTTCCTTTCTTTCTTCAAATTTCGTAGTGAAGATTGGCATAGCTATTACAACACTAAAGCAGATGAATTTAGGATGCCTAAGTTTCTAGCGTGTGAAAATGAATTTGATTTATGGGTTTCACCAATAACTAATTTGCCTAAAGCGATTAAGAATTTGCATAAAACATTGCTCAATCCAAAGTATGACAACATGAGGGAAATAAATATATTAAGAACGCATAATAACAAAGTGAATTTCATCAAGTCTCGAACAAAAGGCAATTGAAAACAATCAGAAATCGATATCTTAGTAAATCTCAAGTAGGTATACCGATTTCAACTCCTTCTTGTATGCAATATTTTCAGAAACGAAAGCATTGTTTGCGCTGATATTGACCTCGCATATAGAACAGGAGAAATTAAGTTTTTTTGTATAAAACTAATAACGAGGGAGATCATATCTAGTTATAGTAATTTCTTTAAATTGTGCTCTCTAGTTTTTGGCATAATTAAAGCAATAAATAATCACGTGATGTACTCACATACAATAAATACCAACATAAGATCAACGTGGAAGAGGGAAGTGTGGGATAAAGAGGCATTTTCAACACAAAATCATCTAAATAAATTAGCTACCTTAAGCTTCGGTTGCAAATGAGCTAATGCATGGCAAGCATTTCTACTTAAAAGATACCAAGAGAGTCATTAATATGACCTGGTGTGACAAAGGTAGATCACCACCTTGAATATAATTTGATCGACAAGAGTGGAATGTGAAGTTGTAAACTAAATGTCAGTGTTTGCTCAACGAAAATTTATGCTTTCGCATAATCAACAGGACAACTGCAATAAGAGTTTACAATTCTCTATTCTCTGACTGTAAAATGGTGGCTGAAACACCTTTATATAACCGATTCAACGACAGTTAAGTCAAAAGACTGCTGGAAAGGAAATAGTTCGCTTGTGGTGAAGCACTATAAATCATGAATGCCAGAAACCAAATCTCTCAATCCTCTGTAATTATATCACACATGATTCGAAAATTAAAAGAACGCTCTATTATTTCATTTCATTTTGAACGCCAAACTTATGGTCAATCGTTATCGAATACCAGTCAGGTAATAGTAAAGAGAGGTTCTATCAAATTTCAAATCATTGTATGAATAAGGAACGCCTATTTCGAACCGCATTGGCTCTTGATGACTTAAACAGATGTTGATTGTCATGTTTGCCTTCAACTTAGTTTTCTGATAAGAGAATCATATAATAGCCTTGCGTTTAACTTTGACGAATGGATATCTGACATACCACGCGGTGTAGGTGAGTGCATGCTAACTCAAATCCTGACCACCTAATTTGACATTAGTCAATTATTTGGCCAAATTTGTTAGTTGTAATTTACTTTTGCACAGAATATGGGAGTTTAGCTTCCTTTAAAATAATAACAGCCATTGAAAAGAAAATTAAACTGCAGGTCCTTTCAGCTAAGATCAAAATACTAAATTTGCATCTCCAACTTGCGAGATTGGTTACTAGGCCTCTTTTAGTTGAATATCTGGATGAATGCGGGGCTAAACACATCTTGTGCAAATTAAACAGAGATCACAGCTACCAAGATTTCAAGCCGGACCGATAAATGTCATATCGATTAACGAGAGATGATAGATGTAGTGAAATCAATTCGAATCCTAGTGTAAGAGAGTAACGATTCTGCTTCATACAACTGAGCGAAATAACGTATCAACTTGAAGCAAATAATAAATCATTAAACCAATTTCTGATTTCGGTGGTTTGGGAAATGATTTATACTGAATTGACTTTACGATGGCCGAATAAATACTCTTACCGTTAGAAAGATTTAAGAACGTCATGGATTAGGGACACTACTAAAAAAATAGAATAAGCGCTCAAAAGAAACACAATTGAAAATCATGCTGTATTTACCCTTTCAGCAAGTTGGTCTTCCTTCTCCGCACAAGCCTTCTTATACAACTCTGCGAATTTCTTTTCAATCTGCAACTGTTCATCAGCCTGTTGGGCCCTTTCAACTAGTTCCTGAATTCTCTTTAACAATAACTCCGTTGCAGCTGACGTTGTGGCTTCGGGATTTCCACCATTTGACTCAACTTCTGGAGGAATACTTCTTTCGGAGGATGATGTCGGCGGCAGCGCAGAAGAGAATGCGTCTTCGACTTGACTTGAATCCGCCACTAAATCAATGTTAATTACTGCGGAGTCAGGCATTTCCACGGGGAGAGAGGCTTGACGGCGTTGAGGCAGGCCCTTGGAAGACTGACCGATGCTGGCAGTGAGTCGATCGGCCATATCCGTGGCGCGTTTAGCAAGAAGGTCAACGGCCTTGGCTTTCTGGGCTTCGGCGCCTTGACGGGCTCTGCGCTCGGACTCGGCGATGGCCTTAAATAAATGACAGGAGAAATGGTAAATAACTGTAACTTCCAGACCTTTCGGGCATTGATAAACTAGGATTTAACGCCACGAATTCTACCTTCTAATTGCGAATATGGACCAATGGAATTCGAATTTGGGAAAAAAATTGAAAAAGAGAAATCCTTGGAAAATTCATCAAAACAAAGCACAGACGAGACATCAGAGATGAAAGGAGGAGGTTTGGACTAGGGCTGTAAACATTAAATGAGACAGATATCATGGCAAATGGTTGGGCGGAAGAAAATCAGAAGACAAGAGACAGTAAGGGTCCAATTATGAGAAGAAGCCAAAGTTATATTGCGGAAAAGCATCAGATTTCAGAGAATAGCCAAACCGTCAAAAGCATGAGTTAAAACGAAAGGGAAGAGAAAAAAATCAAAAATTCAAGTCTAGGCATTGTGTCTTGGTTATAGTTCCCACCCTCATGTTCTAGAATTTGAGGACTCCAATATCAGCACTTCATCGCCATAGTTCCAGGAGCTAATTTATATTTGATGAATCTGGGAATATTCCAGTAGGTGATTAATCTTGACGATTCATCGCCAAATTTAGACATTTTTCTCAACAAATAGCCAAGGCACTAGCATTTGGCAAGAACTAGCACACTTTTACCCACTAGAGTTCGCTCTAACACATTCACATAAAAATTTAAGATTTTCTACCTACCATGGCGAATAAAGGAAAATATACAATTTTTAATTCATATAAACTTGTCAAGTCTTGATGATATTACTCGGCTAAAAGAAATGGCCATAACGGCAAAACTAACAGACGCAAAATTCAAACATGTGAATTGCATTTCATCTAATACAGGTTTTAAACCCGCAAGCGAAAATAATGTTTTATGGTGATTAGAGTAACTTCTGTTGGCAAAAAGGAACAATGCCAAACACAATAGAATAGCATATACCCCAAATACTAAGAGTTAATACGGAATGAAGGTAATCCAGAATATTCTGCACATCACTTCATTAAGCCCAAATTATCTTGACACCTTGAGATAAAAGTACCCCCAAACTGTCTGGTTTAATTTAGATGAGCACGTGCCGATTGTGGAAGGGGAAGAATTTGGACGCGAATGATGGAATTCTGCGATAATTAGGTGAATGATGAGTGCGTGTGTGTGTGTGTACTGGTGTACTAGAGAGATTTTTTTGTAGAATCTTTCCTCATTTGGTAGTCTTTATGGGAAAGGAGGATCGTCCTCTATGGTAATGTAATGCGAGAAAGGAATAAGCCACCTTGGCACAAATGGCAATTAAGAGCTAATGTTCGACATGAAAATTAGGAACAGGCATGATTGAAAAGTAAATTCCAATTTCCAGAAGTCGATACGATAAAAGTAGAGCAAGGAGGTTTAAAGGGTCAGGAGGATAAAAATGGCCCTGTCAACTCACTAAAACAAAAAAAACACAGCAAAGATATTCACATACGAAATATTAAACTTCTGTCACTTGTGAACTGTGAACATTTTACTTCGACACACGGCATGCAAAGAACACACTTCCGATTGAAGGTCATGAAAGGTTAGGAACTGTGGTAAGAATAAGAGGCGCAAATTGTTTAAAAGAAGCCTCATTGCATTCCACTCTCATTGCATTCACGAAAAAGGAGGGTGGGGGAATTTCTGCTTGCTGGAGAAAGTAATTCAAGATCAGAAGACAATCGGTGACATGAACAAGAATGAGTAATAAATATGGAGCAAGTTAAACTGAAAAAAATAATTTTTAAAAAGCGAGGCCGGAAATGCATTGATTTGGAACTGAATATGGGAAAAAAATCAGATCATAAGGCAGGTCAAATCCCCGATCTCGCAATGGATAGTACCCACTGTGTTAATAGCCTCCATAACCAATTCAGATAATTCTTGAAAAGAGACATGCAGGCGAACAAGACAAACAGGCGAAAATGCTGACAAACTGAATATGGCTTGATCTCCACAAGTCGATCATTTGAAGAATAATCTCTTATTCGCGTAAATGACCATTTTTAGGTCTTGAAAACACGTCTAATATAGGAAGTTTGACCGGGCGGAAAGTGAATACATAAATGAATTAACCTACTGAGCTTATTTAACCACAATTACTTGCAACAATCTGCAACTAAATGTGATATCACAACGATGAGAAATTTGTGTGAAACAGTTAGAAATTTTATTATACGGCGAAAAGACGCACTTGAAATCGCAAAAAAATGAATCAATTTAATTTAATCACCTAAATGTGTAGCACCAAGGTCTTTAGCAATAACAATTTGTTTTTTACGCAATGATTTGTTCAGAATATTCATCAATTTGTAATAGAGACGAATCAATAACTTTTAATTTAACAATCAGTGACCTTTAATAGCCTAGACACTTGCATCAATTGATAGGCACTATTTTCATTAAATCGAAATTCTATTCTCTCAAGGCTTAACACATTACAAATAGAAATAAATTATTTCGGAAATTTGGAAACAGTAAACTTATCGATAATGCACACTGAGTTCAAATTTTATTAGGAGTTCCACACTAAATTTAACAGTTTCATTGAGAAAAAGATACTACGCCATTTAATAAAATTAGAAATTGCACTAATTTGAAAGAGTTTTACTCAAAATAGCTGCCATTAGCACCTTTTCCAAAGTTAATTCTGTTTAATAACTAATGAAATTCAGTAACACCGACACTGGGAGTAGTGTCTTTAAGACGGCGTCCAAATTCACACATTTTAGTCCATCGTGTTAAGATTTTGATTTCGGGGTTCAAACATGGGAACAAGTGTGGGTGTAAAAAAATGACTCATAACCAATTTGCCAAATCCCTGAGATATGGAAGGGGGTCCAATCCTTCTGCTAATATATATATATATATATATATATATATATATATATATATCACCTATTATTGGGCACGCTTGTTCGTTATCCAAGGCTTAAGTACCACAGTGGACAGTAATTCCATATAGGAATCTGAATTATTAGTGTCTATGACTCGAAGAAGATGTTCTACTCTTCTCAAAAGGTTCTTCATTCTTGTGAGACGATTTTCGAGATCATTTGCTGCAAGAAATTGGCGCATGCGACGCCTGTTTGAAATAGTGGCGAAGGCCTCCATTGGGTACAAGTTTAGTGATAGATGTCAAAACATAAAATTTATACAACAAAGCCCGCACACGTCGATCTGCAGTAGTCTTTAAAAAAAATTCAATGCTATAGAGCTATTTGGGCCAAATCGTGTGCTTTGCTGATTTCGTCTCACAAAAGCAGCCTTATGGTCCAAATTGTAGTCCTCTGATTTACGTTGAATTTTTCAGAGAGCAAAGAGCAGCGACCACAATCTACCCATTTCGATGATCCTTCTTTTCTCGCTGTCTTCAGATATATGAATTAAGGTTTTAAATGTTTAAATTAAGTGCAGTGAACATGACCGCCTTTAAAAAGATGTAGAAAAGGCAAACAAAACTACTGTTCCCTAAAATTTATTCCAAATACCCTACTTTTTTAAATTATATACATTATAGCGAAAAAATTCTCAACAGAATGAGAACGATGCGAATTTCGTAGTCGGTTATGGGATATTCCCATGATTGTCAACGTCACACTCACTTGGAAGTTGTACTTCAAAGACACCAAGGTGACGTCATGTCGCCTTAATGTCGTAATATTGCTCGATCATTGTCTTTGGTGGAGAGAGAGAGAGGGGGGGAGGGAGAAAGCCGAAAATTTTGCATTAAATAAAAAAAAATACCTTATAAAGTCAAACCAGACACAAGGCAAAAGTTGGCTAAGAATCATATACACCAAGTACTAAATAAAATGACATCATTATCCAAAATCTATTTTGGCGTAGTGACATCATGGAGCCTCTTTGAGGAGGGAGACAAAACCAACTAATGCGTGTGACTACTCCACTCACTAGAGGTGTGCACCGATATGAATTTAACTAATGCACCACCAACGCGCTAAAGATATTAATATCATCTTTTCAGCTAATATTTTCAACACTATTTTAAAAAAAAATTCAGCTTAAAATAATATTCTAAGAATAACTACAATGCAGCTAAAATAATGTAGAAATGAAGAAACTGAAACCATAATCATGAACATGAAAGAAGGGTATTTTGAAAATCTAATTTTCGAGAGACGAATACAGTTCAAAGATTTTTATGAGTTCGGTTTAGACTTACATGTCTAGTACTGAGGTCATTGGGGGTGTGCGATAGACTAACACCCACGTGGTGCATCCTGGGCAAGGTTATATTCATACAGCAAAATTGGTCTATAAGCCGACAGTTGATTTCTCACTTCAAGCTACCACCACCCCACTGTATATCATATTCGACCACTTCCACAATACTCATCTTACCTTTTCTCTGCTTTTGTGCCTGTCTGTCTGTCTCTTACAATTGTGAATCACTCTTCTGTTCCCCCATTTCGAATTTTCTCATTTTGATGTTCCTCCCCTCTGTGAAGCCCGAAGTCAGCTAAAGGACTAATGATAACATTCAAAACGCAAGCAAATTGAAATAAATAAATACTGAGGTCATTAACCAAAAACTTTGAAAATAAATTAATTCATTTTCTTTTCAAATTATTAAAACACGTTGCCATGATCCAAACTATCGAAAAGTATAACCTTTTTCCAATTAAATATATAGAGCAAGCTAATATCTTAGTAATCGAGAGAAATGTTTAATGCCATAGAATCTCTGCATTTTTCAGTTGTGGCTATCTCTTTAATGACCCAAAATTAGTAGCAAAACATCAAAATTCAAACACAAAAATAAAATGCCAAATATAAAGCAACGAACGCATTCAACACCAATCATCTGAAATAAGCACAATGACATTCTTTGCGTCAAAAGTTCACACAGAGCACTGTAATCACAAATAGTTATCCCCCAATTTTTTTAGGAAAAAAAGTGACGAAAATCGGCACTTTAAAAATATTACCTCCAAACATTCGATGGACTTAATTGAAAATTGATTAAAATCGCCACGCCAGATAGGAAGTAAATGAAATGATGAAGCTATCTGGTGAGTAGGGGGACGTTAGGGAGATGTTCGAAATGGCCAGCATCAACGGATTTCTCTCTCCCTCTCGGTATGTTTTACGACTAAGCAACCGATTTAATGAACGGTCTAATAAGCTTCGAAAATCTCCGACGAGAATTCACTCAAGAATGCTAGCATGAAACTCCTCCATTTAGAGCAACAGCAACCAGCCCTATGAGTCTAAAACCTTTCGATAAAAGTAAGCATAATCTAGTCGCCCAGTGAATAAAATTAATCCTGTAATACCACCTGCATAGCATATAAAATAATAATAACCCCCCAGAAGAGAGACAGGAGAGGGTCGACAATAACACCGAGATTGGGAGAAAATATCCCCCTTAAAATGACTAGCAGAGTTCAAGCTAGCTTACGTGCAAAGAATATATGGGATAGCCTCTCAGATAGAGGAAGAGTAATATAATTAACTATAGATGACTCACCTTGAGCTTGGACATCTCAGCCTCTACTTGATTTAAGGCAGATGCGTGCTCAAGTTTGAGTACTTCAAAACGACGTTCTGCGTCGCTGAGGTTCTCAATGTACCGGGCTTCTGTTGTGGCAAGTTGATGCTGTGCTTGTGCCAAAGCTTCCTCTGAAATTGGAACACAAAGGAAGTAGCCAATTATAATTTCAATGTCCTTTATGAGAAAGGAGGCTTTGTTTACTAAACACTGCTAATTCTAAAATGCGAATTTTTAAATATAAAGTCGTTGAAAAGACAAAAGAAGCTTAGGTGAATTATGAGCTATTAATAACAATTAATAATTCACGAGAGCTGTTAGTAGGATTTATTGGCTTATCATCTCTAGCTAATTCATAAGGTAATAGATTGCATAAAAATTTTCAGTTTTCTGTACAGAAAAATTCGTTTTTGGTCTTTTAAACAACCAGTAACTGTGACTTCGATTTTAGCAGGATAGTTCTAAACAGCCTGCCTCAATCTGAGCCAAAATCGATTGATAGATCATCCACAACTATCAATCAAAATACTTGACCTTAACTAACTGATTTGTTCACTTAAATTAAAGCATCGTTATTGAGAGTTATTTTTAAGTAATCTGTTTTAATTATTTCCGAGTATACAAAATCGAGGAAGACATCTACGCAAATCGAACTTCCCCTAGTATGGGAAATCTGTTACACTTCCCTATTTCCCCTATAAGACTTGTTTAGGCAATTCATAGATATTAAATTCTCGTTTTTTTTTCAAAATTATAAAACTCGCTCAAAGCGTGTAAAAGATCCGCAAAAGCAGAGTTTCCGCCTTTTTCATACTTTTGAGATATGCCAATCAGTTGTAAAGTATTTTTTCGGCGTAAACAGTGGTATTTCTCCGTTGGAATGGCCCAAGAAATAATAGTTTCGATCTTATGTACACAAAGAGAGGAAGAGAGAGGAAATTTCGTAGAAAGATTAAACAATTTTACCGAAAGAAACCAAAATGGGCTTTCACAAGCAACTTTTGAAACCCCAAAGACGCATAAGGTGAAGTAATCCACACTCAGTATTCTAAATTTAAACCCCCATGAAAGTCCCTTCAATCACCTCTACTTATGGGGGCACTTTCGATTTGATATTTCATAGGTATTGGTGCACACGAATAAATTCTGATTAACGGATCAACCTTGAAGTTCGAATTAAAATGACTAAACCGCGAGTCAATAATAAGTCAATATCATACTGCTATCTTAATCATCAGAAGAAAGTAGATCTTTCTCGCCTGCTAGAGAACACTTTTAAACTAATTGATCCTTTGTGCAGGCTTTCTCCGCCAATCAGGCCAAGATGAACTGAAGAACCCTAAGAAAATTTAACCAAAAATTTGATTTAAACATAGACCATTTAAACCATTTGCTTGATATAGCAAAAAAACACCATGGGCACACTCTCAAATAAATCCAAGCAATAGGACTTAAGGGATCGAGCATTAGATAAATTTTGCCTTCAAGACAAATAACCTCTGCCATATAAGACACTTCAGATATTGGGAAATAATCAAAAATATTCATACCTAATTCATGAATACGCTGAGTCTGTTGGCAGGATTCCTTTTCTGATAGCATATCCTCCTTCGGCAAAGAGGCTGTTTCATTAGTAGTCTGAGAGGGGGCTAAATACACTCCAGAAAGCGGCGCCAATTTAGGAGATGAGAAAGTAAATCCCGCAAAACTCAACTGATTGCCCTCAAAGCAGGCATTAGCAGCCTCACCATTCCGAGTAGCCACAGTAGTCTGATCACCACCTATATCAGAAATAAAATTCTGTTGTTCCTGGAGTTGATTTTCACATCCATCTTCTACATCATCCTCCCTGAAGTAACTGGTATCGGTTTCAGAGGCCAAAGAAGGTTGAAAAGGGCCTGGTGAGATTGAACGTAAAGTTTTCCATGTCCAATCGAAATAAGCCTCATCTCCGGGTTCATTCACTCGTGAAGGCAGGCATTCATCAGCAGCCCAAGAAGTTGAGAACCAGGAATGGTTGCGTACTTCTTCGGCACCTTCTGGTCCACTTCCTAAGCGGACATCTTCAGGTGAAAGAAGACCTGTGGAAAGTGGAAATATATAGTGTGTAGTCAGTCCTCCAATATAAAATAAACCAATGGAAAGGTCTCATTTCCAACCAATCACCACGAATAGAAGCATAGGAATATAAAGTATTCACGGTAAGAAACTTGAATTCTGTCAAAACCTTAATCATTTAACTTAACCAGACAAACATCCTAAACACTGTACCACTGGGACATTGGAGTCCGTTAGAGTCTTTTAATCATAGGAGTGGAAATAGAATACGTTTTAAAACCCACTTAAATGACCCTTAAAGGACTAAGTACACATTAATTTGTTAATTTGCCAAATTAAACCCTTAATTAGTTCACTGGAAGTAGTCAATGGACATTTCTGAAAAATGAAGCTCTAAATCAATCAAAATAATTCATGAATAAATAGAGAATCATTGTTTGCCTATTAAAAACGAAACAACAATTTCCAAAGAGGGATAAAAGGGCTTGATCCTTACTGCTATTTTATTGTCGAAAGTATAGGCACCGTGATGAAGGGGAAGGCAAATAAAAGAACAAGGTCATTTCTAAAAAATTCCCTTTCTGAACAGAAGCATTCACAGTTTCTCTCTCATGGAGGAGTAAAACACGGGTGGATCGGTAGCTTCATTGAGTGCCACTACCATAAATCTCAAATTTTGTAACTGCATTAGTAAGTGTAGCTGGTCATTCCATTAAGTGAATACCCAGCGATGGAGCATAAAGTTCGCAGGGAACCACGATAGCTGCTTCCCACTTGATGGATAGTCAAATATCTTCAAAACATATTGTTCTAACCAATGCGTCGTTTGACTGTGTTTATTCGTTCTTTCCACCATAAAACGCACTATTTTACCACCCCAGTAAAAGAGCAACTCAAAAATTTATTAAAAATAGTATTGACAAACTGGTAATGAAAGTAGGACGTACGCTTGATAAAATCCAAACAAGAGGGAGTAATGGCAATATCCTTTGGCAAATGTAGACTAGTCGTGTGACTCATAATCTTTGAGTAGGTTGTTACAAGGTCATCGGAGTAAAAGGGGGTCTCGCCGCAAATCATTTCATACACAAGGACACCAAGAGCCCACCAATCCACTGCGAAACCGTACTCACCTCCACCGGAGCTCTATGTCAAGGAAATCAGAAGTTTTCAATATATTAAGCTATAAATGGCGTTAGTTTGATGAAAGTTAAATATCTATGGGTCTAAAAAGTCTGTTGGCACCATCAGGAAAATTTCACGTCAATCTTTCCAATTAAAGAGCCATTTTACTTGTGACGTTTATGACCCCCCCCCTTAAACATAGGGGCTCTGGAGGTTTGTTCAAGCATTCAGTGATAAAATATCCTTGAAACAGACAAAACAAACCAAACAATAGGCAAACAGCAGCTCTTCATATTTTCAAATCCGGGAGAGTACAGTAGGGATAGCAGGTTATCTCAGAAGCGGTAGAATGTGCTATTCATGCTATCCAACAAGACTTGAAGGCAACTACGTGAGTTTAAACGTAAAATTCAGATACATAATCTAAGTGCGGTAATCTGCGATTGAGCCTAAACAGTTAAATAGCTGAAATGTAGGGAATAGGGGGAGGTGGGAATTACTATAATCGCTGCTTTATGGACGGTAATTTAATTACATCAAAGTAGTTAGAAAACCTTGAATATGAACCCATATCAATCTTTTGCAGTTAGCTGTCAAGAGAAATAGGAGCAAAGAGCTGAGAAAGATTAAAAAATAACTAAATAGAAACAAAATCCTTAATGCATTAAATCGCCCAATTCCCCGCGATTTTTCCATATAAAATAAGGGGTTTAAAAAGCAAAAAATGACGTGCATAAGGGAGTTCAACTTTCTTCCATTTCAAGCACTTCTGACCATTCAATTCTATTAAAAATGCTATAAAGAAGACAGCCTTCAAAACATTTGAACCTAATTAGAAGTTACACTGGAAGTAATACAATAATCTTTTGTACCTTTACCACCGATTTATCCAATATAGTTCAAGTTCATTTGCCTCCGAACGCAACTTGAATTTTCGTGGAGTCATTAAACTATTTCCAGTTCGTCTAGGACATTCGAGATTTACATTATTTATAGGATACAGGAGCTATTTACCAACTATCTACTTCTCGAACGTTCCAAATAATAGTAATAAAAATAACTCCAAGACCTTTAAGTGAAGAAGGCATCACAAGCACACCAATAAAAGCGTTGGGTAGAAGAAAAGTATTTTGGAACTATCTTTCTTATTGATGCAAATTGGCTGATGGTGTTGGCTATTCACATCATTGAATTTTATAAATGACGTACACGTTGACCGCTACTCCATTAGTGAAATAAAAAATGCGTTTAGGCACACATTTTAAACAGAGCGAGTGATCTAAAAATCCGAAAAAAGACATTTTTTTAGCTAACCTCAACCCCCCCCCTCCACCCATTGTATTACTCTGCATGATCAATCATCTCAAATAAAAGTAATTCCTGCACACACCTGAGAATATAGGACTTCCGGTGAGATATAATCCGGAGTTCCAACAGCACTTTCACATCGAACTCGATGGGTATGTGGATCCACTCGAACGCAGGTTCCAAAATCAGCCAGTTTGAGATGACCGCTTATATCGAGAAGCATGTTGTCCGGTTTAATGTCCCGATGAATAAAACCCATGTCATGAAGATCGGAAAGTGCTTGCGCGATTTCTGCGGCGTAGAACCGACATACTGTCTCAGATATCAGTTCCACTTCATCCATCCAACAGACCAGAGTTCCTCCTGGGACATACTCCATCACCATGTACAAAGAACGCACGTCCTAAGAGCAAATAGAAAATAGATTTTAAACATTATTCGTCACTAAACCAATTGGAAATTAGAGCTATCCTGATAAAACTTTATTGGATATATATCTACCATGTAACAGGATGCTCGACAGTCTAACTAAAAATCAAAACTTTCGAGAAAAGCGCTTTATGAATACGCACTCCAATAATTATATTAAGCGAAAGGCTATTGTTAACGAAGACCTTAAGAAATTAATCACTTAAAGATATGTTCCTCCCATCTTAACCATAAAACTTACTTCTATCAGTCAAGTAAAAATAGAAAAAAATGGCACGAATAAATTAAGGATTGATAAAAATCAATTACGACAAAAGGAAATTAATTAGTGAAGCGAAAATTCACTTCAAGTAAAAAAACTTTGAATTGTCCATATTGCACATTACGATTCAACCAATTCTGTAAAAGGTAAAAGTAATTTTTTAGCCAACCCCAAATACGAGGAAAAAATGTTCAAGGATTCAAGAATGAAATCCCATTCACACTAATTTTCTCATCTCAAAATTTCCGAACTCCGAGTACGGTTCGCTTAAGCTCCTGATTAACCACCAGATAAATCGAGTAAATGTTGCAAAAGACTTAACTCAATTTTAAGTCAAAAACTTAGCCCAACGAATTCTATACAAATTTATGGACCTGGAAGACCGAACTATTTCATATTACGAAATCCAGAACCTTAACCCAGTTTGAATTGATAGTATCTTATTTTTGCTCAAAAACAAATCAAACGAAAAAACGAAACCTTACTTGCACAGTCAATCTAATAAGACAATTGGGAAAAAGTCGAAGACCAAACAATGTTTAATCTACAATAGAATAGACAGAGCATATTTATTAGTTCACTGATGGTCAGTTATTAAACCATATGCTTAATTCTGAAAATTTTCAGCAAATTCTGTCGGAAGAATGATTAAGAACTCTGCTCAAGGACTGAAAAATATTTAGGTCCCTATCCAATTAAAGACATCAAAGGCAATCAAAAAGGCTACAAAAGCCCAAAAACTACTGCTATAAATCAAAGAATGAAAGTGCACACGTAATGCTCAAATATTCCACAACAGCTTTGCTAATTAACGCAAATATATCAACTCAATAGAATAAGTGTTTTAAAGGCGTCTGTGGAGTGGCATTAACGTAAGAAACTTTAAGAACATCACAGGAGAAATCAATGAGATGCAAGACTTCAAACTTGCATTTAATAAGACTAATTTTGTTAGGTGCAGAAGTAAAACATTCCCCTAACGTAAAACAGGTGACTCTCAATATGAAATTTAAAGGGTTAAAATGCATTGCTCATATTGGGAAGACATTAATATTATAAATAATTCACTAAAGATGCAAATGCAAAGAAATCATAAAGATGGAACCCAAATAAAAAAGATATAACCTGAAAAGAGTAAATAAGTCGAACGATCCAGGGAGAGACACTTTGGGACATAATTTCACGTTCAGCCCAAAAGTCAGCCTGTTGACTTAGCATTTTTGATTTGTCGAGAGTTTTCATTGCACATATACGACCAGTAGCATTCTCTCGAACTAGATCAACTCGACCGTAAGCGCCACGGCCGAGACTAGAGAGGAAGGTAAAATCATGCCGTTGTCGACGAAAACTCATGAGTTGATTCACCGATTCGGTGAATCTAAAATAATTTGAAAATAAAGAGAAATTAGAAAATATTTTTAAAAAAACTAATAACCGATTTAGAAGCTTACCTTTCGGAAAAGGTGAGGATTTGAGTGTCCTCTTTATCACGAGGGATGCGTTGACTATCCAAAACGGAAGAAATAAAAACATCTAGGACTCTTTCGATATTTAGCTCAGAGAAGGGATCAGCAAGTGCATTTTCAAGAGATAAAATTCTTTCTTTTATATCGACAGGGTTGTTCTTTGATGTTGTCATGACTGTACAAATTAACACAGTATATACACATCCATACTACTATAAAGCCGCGCCTCAGTTGCTTGATTGGTTTATGATCATATTTAAAAAGCCACGACAGTCCTTGTCGTCGAAATTGATTGCAGTAAAGAAACCGAATATTTTATTTGTTTTTTTAAAACATCACAGCAATTCAAAAAACACGTAAATTATTTAATTTTTATTCTTTTTATTTATTACCACTTAGTTATTCTTTTACGAATTGATGAAGACTTAATATTTCACTATAAAAGAATGATTCCTAAAATGCCCTCAGAATACTTAAAATTCTTAATTTAAACTTTTTCAATGTTCTTATAATGACTTTAGCTCGTCATAGTTTTCAGCTATATATTAAATTAGTGATTCTCACTCAAAAATTCGAAATCAGCATTTCTTCATCGATGATATCTCTAAGATAATAAAATTTAAGCTTGAAAAGTAAGAGAAGTGGCCTTTTATACCTTTGACACAAAACAATAAGTGGAGAAAGTTGACCATTTTATTGGCTATTCACCGTTTTTCCAAATCGCCTATTCATATACTTAAACATATAATTCGATACCTTTAAAAAATCAATAAAGAAGCGATAATTAATTTATAAACATAAAGAAACAGAATGGAAATAATGATTCTAAAGCGAAATGCCCCACAAACCTTTATGGGCGCTTTACCCAATTTGAACATGCTTAAATAGAATTGATAACTTGGCCCTTTCAGTTAAATTGAGAGAATTCACTCTAATTTTCTCAACAACATCAACTCCACTTAAATAAATATACGCTTTACACTGAGAGGGTTTGGAACTTATAGGCCCGTTTTGCCTGCTGTCATGAACCCGAGCACAATATCCCTCTAACAAATTTAAAAGTATTTGTTTCTTACGGTAGAATGTAAGTTAGTCTTGCAAACAGGGGAGCTGATCAAATAGCCTCCGTTCTTGTGTCAACATTTTGGAAAGCATGGTTGTTTTATTATTGTATTTCTTCCAATACTATCCTCAAAACCAACCTTATAACCTTTATGAAATTGCATGTATCTGGTTACGATAAATGAGTAGACATTAGTAAAACAGCAGATATCGGAAATATTTGAAAGATATATGCATATTATACCAGCTACCTTACAAATTCTCATTCCTCCAAGATCTAGACAGTGGCGATTCGATTGAGTCCGCCCAGGTTCCCGAGGCTAAAATACCACATGAAAGTAATCAACTTTGAAGTTTCTTGTGTTGAGAGTAGGCGTGCATCTCAGCTATCTCAAAGCACAATATCTCCAGAGACGTTCGCAGCATTTATGCGTAAATACACGCATCGTATCACAAAGTCGCTTTGAATTAATGTTGGGTAAAATATCTCCCACTATAATATCGCAGCTTAAAGCGTACAGTTGGAATAAACGGCGATATTGTTTACTGAGGAAGTCTATTTTTAATAAATAATATGTTATGATGCTTGCACCTTTAGTCAGGCTTTCATGTTTCCAGTGTCTAAATTATATGTTTTACACGGGCATTGTGGTCGTCATTAAAAGCTGGTAACTGGAGAATTCCATGTTCTTTTCGGATTCGATATTAATAATAAATACATTGACTTTTTATATCATCAAGGAGAGAATATTGCCCGTTTCATGTAACATTCTACGGAAACACTGCCCTTCTCGAACGACGTATTATCTTAAAAGAAATGCAGGCGTAAGTACGTTACCTAAAGATAGTTTTAGTTCGGTAAATATAAAATACTAAAATAAGGCTATATCTATGAAACAATAACACTTAACTTTACCGAAACCGATAAGGACCAGCTACACATAGCACAGTAGGCTATGGAATGATTACGTTAATTAAAATTTGTCGAATTAAAACGTTTTTTCCTTCTTCCTGCATCAGTCAATACAGTGTTGCAGCCAATTTTCGAGCATGACTTCAGCGGTATTACCCTCCAGTTCACCGACTTGGCTCCATTCAAAACCAACTAAGTGACGACTGTGGGAATGGCATCAAAATATCTAAAGTGATGCTCACTCTTGTTTAAAACTCCTTGGACTGTCTCCGACAGTGTAACACTAGACGTTGCTTACCATGTCTCATCTGCATAAATCTTCCTTGAAAACCTCTCCACCTCCAAGTTACACCCATTTTGACATCCTTTTTTGAGCGTCTTACACTTTTATCTCCCGAACTTCCTCTTAGTGCTGAAATAACTGCTCCAGACCAAGGTCACTTACTTCTTATTCTAAAATGGAAATCATTAGGAAGAGAATTCTCGATGCTACCAAGCATCCACTTCAATAACTGACTAACGGTCATTGCTATCTCGGTATGTCGCGTATAAAGTTTCGGCTTAATCTAACTAACACTAATTAGGCACATGAAAACATAAAATTTTGAAATTTATGAAGAAAGTCAATCATTCTGAAAACACACAAATTACCATTTAATTGACCAATATGTTGCAAACAAATGCAGACAAGGGGAAATTAAGGTGAAAGTTGCACCTCTCTTGGTTCTGAACATGTTATGTTTTTGTAGAAAGAACGCGCACTTCTCGAAATTATTATTTAATTTCATCTTTTCATGACAATACATTGGTAAAAATTAATTTAACACATTGGGATTCATGCTTTAGGTCATTATCCTCTTAGTAGACTTCAAATAAATGACAAAGTACACTTTGACTACTCGGTCACTCCAACAATAAATCGAACTGATTCAAACCTTTATATTAGATTAAAAGTTATTTCTTGAGAATTTTCATTTACTGAATATTCCGGCTTAAAGCAATTGATTTCTTCAAGAAAATGGTATAACTGAAATATGGTATAAGTTTTTCTAAGGTTTATTTAATCAAACAGGGGGTGTGCGCTAGACTTACCTCCACGTGATGCAACCTGGGCAACGTATACTCACACGGCAAAAGTCTATAAACCGGCAGTTGACTTCAGACTCCAAACTACCATCACCCCACTGTATGTCATATTCGACTGCTTCAACCGTACTCACAGCACCTTTTTCTACCTTTGTGTCTATCTCTTTTATATCTTTGAAAACGCTATGCCATGTTCGACTATTTCCACAGTACTCTCCTCACCATCACCTCACTCTATGCCAAATTCGACTATTTCCACAGTATTCACCTCACCTATTTTCCAAATGCCATATTCGAATATTTCACAGTACTCATCTCACCTTTTTCCCTTTGTGTCTGTCTCTTTTACATCTTTGAAACACTCTTCTTCCCCCCCCCCATCTCGACCTTTTTCAATTTGATGCTCCTTACCCTCTGTGAAGCCTGAAGTCAACTAAAGGGCTAATGGTGGCTATCAAAACGCCTGCCATTTGATATGAATAAATTTAATCAAACAGTCTAACAAATCAATTAATAAATCTTATCAATTAAAAAAATAAGTTTGGCATAACAACATTGCCACAGATGTGTTCAGCAATTCCTCCACCCAAATGTGTGGGACATGTTATCGCTGCGTGCGTCATCGTATGCCTGCATGTTGCTCGGCAGGATTGGGAGGTGCGGCCGTACAACTCTGTG